CATAGCCATGTATGCCCATTTCATGTCTTGAACTTTTATTCTGTATTCGCCAATTAGAAATATAGCTACTTTATGCTTATAGATTTGCAAAAGGTATTGGAAAGAGTTATGAATTACCTGCCGTTCTTTTCAAGCCTTGAACATTGTAGAAAAGTTGGGACCAACCTTTCTGGTCCCATCCCTCCTACCCCCACTTGGATATTTATATGATTATTTATTCTCAAATATTAAACAGTAAGCTGAACAGGTCTAGGTATTGGTTTATGTATTTATTTTATTTGATTAAACAGTGTCATCTTTTGTTCTGTGTCTTTGGCTCTTTAGCAGAATGAAATTTTCTTCTGTTACATCTTTGATTATTGGTATTGTTTTATTTGTTACTCTTCTTCTTATGTTGTGTCCTGGTCACTTCTCTATTGTTGTTGTTGGGTGCTGTCCACTCAATTCTGACTCATGGCAACTCCATATGACAGAATAGAACTGATCCAGAGGGTTTCCTAGGCTGTAATATTTACAGGAATGAATTGCCAGGTCTTTTCTCCCATGGAGCAGCTGGTGGGTTTAAACTGATTACCTTTTGGTTAGCACCCACATGCTTAACCATCGTGCAATCAGGGCTTTTCCATATCGATTATATTTTCTTTTGTCTTCTTTCCCCCTGTGGTTTAGTGAGTTGCATGATATGACTTTTCTTACCATAGTCTCTGTAACTACCACTGGATTACTGGGTGGGACCATGCAAATGTGTGTCAACTTGGCTGGGGAGGTGGTAGTAGTAATTTCCTATAACGAGACTGGCAATTAACTCTGTGGTGGAATGTGCTGTGAGCAACTGAGTAGTGGCTTTTAAACTCCTGATTGTTAAAGTCATCCACCTGGGGTATTTCTGTTGGTACAACATGAAGTAATTTTCTGGGAGAGTTCACTCTTTCTCAGGTGTGTAGAACTCTTATGTTGGAATTTGATGGTTTTGCCACTCTGCTAGGGTTAAAATGAACCCTCCTTAAGGCAGAGTGGGAATCTCACTGCCAGCTGAGACAGATGTCAGGCTGAGAGAGAGGCCTGGCTGAGAGACGGTGGCAGTGGAACCAAGAGGCACAGGTCAGAGTGGCAGGCTTACCTGGCCCATAGAGGTAGAGGCCAGGCTGAGAGGCCAAGGGCCAGAGAGGTGCATCTAAGTGCACAGCAGAGGAGAGACTGTCCTCATTGAGGAACTGTATCCTGAAAGTATGTTCCTGAAGTTGTATTGTAGCCTGTTGCTTCCCTAATAAACCCCATAATCTGTGAGTTCTGTGTGGCCACTGCAATGAGTTATTGAACCCAGCAAAAAAGTGGTGGGTGCTATGGGAGGGACAGTTGGTGTCAAGGTTGGTAAGAGGGTTGGAGAGTGGTGGCATGTCTGGCCTCATAAGAACAGGCCTTGGGCTGCTGGTGGTGATTCTGTCTTCCTCATGTGTAGTTAGAGAAGGTCAAAAGATGTTGCCTCCCTGCCCCTTTAGTACCCTCTTGTTTTTTTTTTTTTCTCCTACCAAGAGAAATCCAAGGTATATCACTGATCCGATTTTCAACAATTCTGCTTTTTATTACTTCTAATCTGTATTTAAGGACTCTGGTGGTGTAGTGTTTAAAGCATTCGGCTACTAACCAAAAGATTGGTGGTTCACCCCACAGCCATTCAAGGGAAGAAAGGTGAGGCAGACTGCTTCCATAAAGATTTATACCTTGGAAAATGCTATGGGGCTGTTCAACTCTGTCCTAAAACTGTTGGTATGAGTCAGAATCAACTAAATGGCAGGGAATTTGGTTTGGTTTTGGTAATACATAATCCATTTTGCAGCTACATTTTCCATTTCTTTATGTAGTATTTGTTTTCCATATTTCACCACAGTCAGTTTAATAGTGGCTAAGGCACTTGACTGCTAACCAGAAGGCTGGCGGTTCAAACCCACCAGCCACTCCTTGGAAGAAAGATGGGGCAATCTACTTCCGTAGTGATACTGCCTCGGAAACCCAAGGAGGGGTCGCTATGAGTCAGGTCCGACTCGACAGCACATAACAACAACAACAATTTTTATTTCATATTGCTTTATTCCATTTTATCTCTTTCTTAATCTGTGTTTTTTTACTTTTATGAAAGGTAGAGTATCTGAGATAAATGCTACCACAACCTTATCAGAACTTTCCCATCTTTCCACTGAAATAGAAATACACATACATACACAACCACACACTCACACACAAATAATGTGTGTTTACTTTGAAGATATTGTCTATCAAGTGAACATGAATAACATAGGTTCTAATCCTGTATGACTGGTGTCTTTATGAAAAGGGAGAAGATACACAGAAACAGACAAAAGAAGGACACCATGAAATGCTATGTAGTGTATGTATGTATGTGTATTTCCATGGAAAGGTGGGAAAGGTCTGATAAGGTGGTACTACCTTCTGTCTCTGCATACCTACAATACTCCTTGACTTGTTTAAATCACTCAATATATATTTATTGAATGAGTGAGTCCTCTTTGAGACTTTTAGAAGAATCAGCCACTCTTAACTATTTCCTATTACTTCAATATATTTTTTAATGTTATTTAAGTTATTTATTTTAATATTATATTTAAGTGCTGCCAAAGGGGCATGGAGGCTGCATCTTCTGACCTCCTCTAACCACATAAGAGGAAGACAGAATCACCATCAGTAGCCCAAAGCCTATTCCTGCGAGGCCAGACATGCTGCCTCCCTCCAGCCCTTTCACCAACCGTTCCTCCCGCAGCACCCACCACCTCTCTGCTGGGTTCAATAATTTGCTGCAGTGGCCACACAGAACTCACAGATGATGGGGTGAGCACCAGACTACAATTCAAGTTCAGAACTGCACTCACTCTCTTACAGCCAGCCATTTCACTCAGCAGCTGTCAGTCTCAGTAGCACATCTCTCTCTCACTAGTGCGTGTCTCTCGGTGACTCTCTCAGCAGTATGTGTCTCTCTCAGCAGTGCGTATCTTTCATGTCTCTCTCTCAGCAGTGTGTGTCTCTCCTGTCTCTAAGGAGTGCATTTCTCTCAGCAGCACATCTTTTCAGCCAGCAGTCAGAGAGACTCCTTCTGCCTCTAGGAGGGCTCCTTTTGAGCCTGGCAGAGTGACCAGACTAACCAATCCCAACATCAGAATCTATACACCTGAGAGAGAGAACTTCCCAGAAGATTGCTTCCTGCACCCTCAGCAGAAATACCCCAGGTGGATAACTTTAACAATCAGCAGCTACTCAGTTGCTTATGGCAAATTCTACTGTGGAGTTTACAAAGACTTAAGGGTAGAAAGGCCATACCAGGTAATTTACTACACTGCAAGTGCTTTGCAAAATATTTCTCAGGAGTATCAGTTTCATAAAATGTTCTGTGAAAAAAAGGTTCTATGTACAAATAATTCTGGTAAATACCTGCATAGTGTATCCTTCTCATAGAAGGACCCCATTATTAAGTATTAAGGACCCCAAAAAGGTTTGGATTAAAAAATCTGTTTAACTTTGTTTAATTCAGCATGTCCCAAACTTACTTGATCACAGAAATCTACAATGTGTCAGAAAATACACTTTCAAAAATGTTTCTTTCTGAACCTCATACAGTTAGTTCATTGTAGACTTTTTCCACAAAGTAAACTTCAAATTTTTGAATTTGAATTGTTGTTCAGCCATTCAAAGAGATAGAAATTATGATGAAATATGGTTACATTGTCCCAATTTAAGTCAGGCATTTCTAACTCAAATTTTTCTCATATTTTGAATAAGATAAGATCTCCATGATCTTTTAAAAATGGGTATTACTTCAGGCATTAAGTTAGTGTATTTAGGAAAAGGAGATGTATTTTCATTGGTGTACTGATCAGAGAGAGCCTTTTACTCCATGATATGGAAAAATCTCTCCATTTGCCCAAGCTCAGTAAGAGAGACAATTTGTGTTTATGCATGGTTTTAATATTGTATGTTATCTAGGAAGTAAATCTACAACTCTGCAGCTTTTCTATCAAAATGGGTAACTGGTTGAAATAGGGAAGCTGACTAATTTTATTTTTAGCCTCAATAGTAAATTCTTTGTTGTATTCTTTCTATATTGTCTTTAATAATCTTACTAATAATCAAACCAAACTCACTGCCATCGAGTAGATTCCGACTCGGAGCACCCACTCCTTGGGTTTCCAAGGCAGTATCTCTAAGGAAATAAATTGCCCAGTTTTCCTTCTGAGGAGTGGCTGGTAGGTTTGAACCGCCAGCCTTTTGATTAGTAGTCAAATACCTTAGGCACTATGCCACCAGACCACCAAATCTTACTAAACTACATCATATTTTCTTTTTGACTATCTACCATATGGGATTCAGATGTGTTTTACTAATTCAGCTGTTTACTGACTGGTTAGGAACCTATTTTTTTCACTTGCTTTACTATTCCTCTCCCTTCAAATGTTTGTTTTCTCCATGTACCTTTTTGTAATTAGTATTTTTGTTTTGCCTTTATATATGTATAGTTAGAGTTATACTTTTCTTAATTCAGCAGTTGTTGGTTTTTTTGGTTGTTTGTTTTATTTTAAGGTATGGTAAACAAAGCCCAGCAAGTTTTCAGCTAAAACTAAATAGATTTTCCCAGTAACATGATGAATCTGAAAGACACCGATTTGTTTATGGACTTGTCTAGCAAGTTCTAAGTTCTAGTTCTTGGCTTTTCCTCAGATGAGAGTGTCTTATTTTCATACTTATTTCTGAACAAGACTTCCTCTTCTGATTCCCTGAATATCTATTTTAGAGAAAGCATCTCAAATATACTTGTATGATTTTAGAATTAAAAGCAATAGTCAAAGACTTTTTAAAGCCCTGTATTACTTTCATAAATATGGCCACCATATACTCTTTCCAAGAATTGACAGTGGAAATCTAAATAAAAGATAATTGAGCATTTATATTCATTGTAGTAGATGAAGGTCTAACTTTGGTTTTATCTTCAACAGACAAACAACAGAAAGGTGAATTTGCGATAGATGGCTACAGCGTCAAGATGAATAACACCCTTAGGAAGGATGGAAAGAAGGATTGCTGTTTTGAAATCTCTGCTCCTGATAAACGTGTCTATCAGGTTGGAGTTTTTATGTTGCCTTGAAATTAAGTTCTGATTAAATGTTCTGATTTCATTTATAGAGACATTAACATTTTGTTAAAACAATTCTCCCTGACATGTTAATGGTAATAAAAAAATACTAGTTTTATACACTGAGCTCTCATACAAGAGGACATACATTTTTAAAACATTTCAGATTAGTGCAAATGATATCTACTTGAAAAAGAACAAGTGAATATGTCATTTATCAGTTACTCTAAATGTTGCATTTTATATCTATTTTAATAGAACTGTGTGATTTCCTTAAAAAATTACATAGTAGAAAGAGTAAAATTATCAAAAGAAAAATATCAGAGCTTTATTGCATATTGTATTGCTTAGGCATGTGGGAGAAAATGAAGTAAAGGCATATATGGGCTCTTCAATTCAAGAGCTATCAGCTAGGCATCAATATGGAATGTATGTTTAATAAGTTTTAAATATCTGAGATTGCAGTTGAAAGCCAGTTAATTAAGTTGTCAGGTAGTGTGTTGGAATCTGACAAGAACATTTTTAAGAAAACTGTACCCAGCAGTCTAAAGAAATTCATGGGTGTCTTCTAATTGTCAAGGGCAAATTTTGTTCATCAGTTGTGTCTTTGACATTGATGAAGAGAAGCAGTTTTTTTCCCTGCACAGCTGCCAGCTGCTGATCAGAGTTTCAAATCCATCATCCTCTGCTTCAATTACATAAATTTGTCAAAATTAACTGTACATTATAAGAAGCATCCTTGCAAGAAAAGTACCACTAGACATGAAAAGAATTACTAATCATCTTAAATGATAAGAATGCTACATGCCTTGTGTTTCTGCTGTGGTGTTTTTGTTTTTGTGTAATTTTTTTTTTTTTTTTTTTTATTAGTTTACAGCAGCTTCTCCCAAAGATGCCGAGGAATGGGTACAGCAGCTGAAATTTGTATTACAAGGTAAGAGCAATCAATTAAATAAGCTATCATTGTGTTTGAATACTGAATAACTGAGTGATCTGGGTTTTCATCTACGAAAGCTTATTGACTTCTGTGAGAATGATCAAGAAAACATGACTGGTATTAACAAAGACCATTCACTTGAGACTTGTAAAAGCATCTCTTCAATATGTACCAATTGGCAACTTTGAAATTCACATTTCACTCAATTTTAAAAATGTTTTAAATTAAAGATTTAAAATTTAAGTAACAATATTGTGGTTACTTTGTAGGGCTTCATTAATTTAGAAAACAAAGTTTTAAAAATCTTTCTTGTACTCTCTTAAAATTTGCTCTATTAAACATGTTTTATAGATATGGGATCTGATATTATTCCTGAAGATGATGATGAAAGAGGAGAATTATATGATGATGTTGATCATCCTCTACCAATCAGCAGTCCACCAAAAAGTGGCCAACCAATAGATGAGGAAATTTATGAAGAACTTCCAGGTATTTATTTTCTGGTGATCCACCTAAGAATTGTAGGACTCTTCATATGTCATATGTCATCCAGTTGACAACAGGAGTGGAAAATGGTGAGCTATTCAGAAAAGGACAAAGGGAATCTTCAGAATTGCATTTTACGAAAAGGGTTCTGCTTGAAATATTTCAAGTAAGTGGATGCACATTTATGAAAAGTGAATGGAATGTTAAAATCATGCAGATACAATCCTAATCTCTTGGGACTTTTGGCTCATTAGCATTGTTTATGCTACATAATTTTTTAATTAAAAAATTGACTTGCCTTACAGTTTTTTCCACCAACTCACAAATCATTTTTTATTTATACATCTTGGAACACCGTTAACCAGAAGTTCTATGCACATCCCATATGTCATCAACTTCTGCCTCATGTAGTCTTCCTTCCTTAAATGTATTGCATTGTCTTGGAGAAGTGTTGAGCTAGAAACAAAGGCCTTTTGATGCTTGAAGTGTTCTTGAGATTTTAGCATCCATGTGCAATCATAAGACTTTTTTATTTAGATCATCAGGCATGGTTTAGTGCTTGCATGCCTCTGTGTCTGTTTTATAAAAGGAAATGAATGATCTATTAGCTACTTGATTTGCAGTTTTGAGAGTAAACCTAAAGCATAGAAAGATAGGTATCTGAAAGTTAGGATGTATATGAAATAAGACACTTAGAATATGAAAATGTTCAGAGAATTACTGCATTACTAATACTCTAGGTTGAAATGAGGCTTTTTGGCTATTAAAAAAATCAGTAGTTAGAGAAGAAAAAGGGATTATAACTAGTGTAAGTGAGATTTACCTAACATCTCATGTAGAGAAGCTATTTTTCTCTGAATAGAACAATTTAATGACAATATAAACCTTTAAAATTGATTTCAAAATTACTTAACATGTTTCAAGTTAATGTACAAATGCCATTTTCAGTGCAGTCAGTAGAGCATTGTTACTCGATCGACTTTAGAGACAAAAAGTTCAAATTCTGACTATACCATTTACTAGTTCAGTGACCTTAACAATCAATTTCTTCATTATAAAATGAGGATAATAACACTGAGGAGTAAATGAGATAATGTATTTAAAACTCTCTGCACAGTGCTTGAATTATAGCAAGCACAAAATAAATTATAACATCATTATCATTATTGTTTTCATCATTGTATCTGGTAAATTCTCACAAATACTTATATGGAACTACAATAATAGTTTTCTGACCAAGTAAGAATTAATAATTCTGACAGTATTATAAATTCAAGATATTAAAAAACTACTCAAAATATGTATCTACATATTATTGTCTTTTACTACCTAGAAGGTGATTAATATAGAAGTAGAATTTTGTGGGGGAATAATAATCTGTCTATTTCTATTATTTTAGCAGAGCCATGTTTATTAGCTCTTTTTATTCTGGTTTATCCAAAGGAAATGACATCTGCTATAACATCATTTATTCCTAAGCAGGGAAGATATTCTCTGGCCACTAGTTTTTAGTCATGCCATATCATTATTAATACAGTTATTTTAGTCTTTAACATGCTTAGAATAACTTGTGAGAATGTATACTAATGTAAAATAGAAGCATGGAGTACCTTTAAACATGATATTACTGTCATATACATTTCATCCCTTAAAAACCATGCAGTGTGACAATGGTCCTATAAGTGTATTTCCAGGTGTATAGTAGAGCTGACAAGGGACAAGGTTGTAGTCACTTCTTGGTCACAGCCAGCTACTCAGAGGTAATGAGGAACCATAGTCACAGGGGACGTCAAGCTCAATAGGCATAATATCCTACACAAAATATTGTTCCACCTCCTACTTTGGCGAGAAGTGACTGGGATTTTAAAAGCTTGCAAGCAGCCATCTAGATGTGACGATGGGTCTCTCCTTGTCCAGAGCAAAGAAGAATAAAGAAAACCAAAAATTCATGGGAACAATTAGTCCCAGCAACTGGTATACCCTGCGTTCCTCAGCCTATACGACTATGAGATCAGAAGAACTAGATGGTGCCCAGCTACCACTGTCAACCACTCATGGGGGGGGGATGTCTATGGAGGAGATCCTGGATAAAGAGGGAGAACATGCAGAACAAAACTCAAAATCATTTGAAAAAAAAAAGGGGGGGGGGACCAGGCTTGCTGCTGTGATAGAGCTTGGTGGAACCACTGAGACTATGGCCCCTAGCTGCCCGTCAGGTCTGGAATTGAACCCGCACCTCTGGCTTCCAGCCAAACAAAAGACAGGCATATGAGTCGAACATTTCCCGAGGTAGATACACTCCTTGGAGAGAAAAATCTTGGGAGAAGTAAGGGCTGTTTATGCACAGGGAGACAACTCAGGGGGCAGGAGTGCATGGAGGGAAGGACACAGGGAAGAGGTAACTATTGGGAAGAAGTGGGAAGGGAGCTGTTGCATTGGGGTAAATTGTGATCAATGTCATGAGATGAAGTGCATGTGAACTGCTGTATGGAAAGTGAATTAGCTCTGTAAATTTTCACCCAAATCACAATTTAAAAAACAAAACAAAACAAAACAAAAATGTGCAATGAGTGTTGTATTACTTGAATTCACTGTTAATTACATTCTGAGTTTCTTCCACTTGACCATCCTCCCCTGCAGCCTTCACCAACCTCCCACAAAGGCAATGGGGAAAAAAGTTGATCAGGAGAAGTCAAATATTCATAACCATTTCTATAACAAAGACCCAAGGAAGTTTCTTATAGCCAGCTTGAAATCTTAGAAATGTGAAACATCTTTTATTTTCTCTCACTACAGATGTGCTTCATCTTTTTCTTCTTTTTTTTTTTTTTTTTGGCCAAGAGCCACATAATTGTTAGAAATAACTGGTTACTCTTTAAGTAGTCTTACTTCTTGTTGTGTTACTGGGAGAAATTTAAGCTGCTCTGGGATTCCATGCCCCTGCCTGGGGATCCCCAGTTGCTGTACAAAGAGATTGAGCTTGATAGAGCCTGCAACTGTGCCCCTGGGAAGGAAGCTGTTATAGGCAGCTGTGGAATGCCTAGTTCTTCTTTCTTCCCCAGTGCAACTGAGAGCCATTTCAACATCTGCACAGTTCAGCAAGTTTTTCAGGTTTGAGCCAGCGACTAGAGAGGGGATTTTTCTTAGTAAGGTCCTACAGTTGTTTCTTTAGAGTTCAAAGTTTTATTTGATTACATAGCTAAAACTAGAAATTAACTTTTTTACTTAAAAAAAGATAGGAAAAGATTCCACTTCTGTGAAAATGAATTTTTTTGAGGGGCGGGGAAGGTTGAAAATACTGGAAAAATTGACCACATTATACAAACTGTTGGTATTTTTCCAGTTTTGTGCAAAAGAACTATGTATCCTTGAAGTCTGACCGATTGAATTCCCAGAATTAATACCAACATTTCAATGCAATTTTCTGTCAGTTACATATAGTTGAAAACTAATCCTCTCAGTTGAAAGATGAAGCATACAAATGTGTTTGAAGAAAAATCTAAGCATTCAACATGCTACTTTAAATCACAAAGCTCTTTCTAAATGGGGAAAGTAAAGCTCTTATTCTAATAAGTGTATTTTATTACTGAAATGTAAAATAAACCTGCAGTGTTTAAATCTCAGGAGTAAGAAGAAAACATTGTTTAAAAAATTGTAATGCAAAATATCCCTTGAAAAATGTTTATAATTCTTTAGGAGTGTAAATAGTTTCGTTGTAATTGTTTTTCAGTTAGAATATTCTGACTTTATTACAGCAGCTTCTCTTTAATTTCTTGTTCATTAATTTTTAACTAACTTTATAAGAAGATAAGAATAAATTTGTAAGATTTCTTTGCATATAAGGGATATGTACATAGAGAAAAGTTGAGAATACTATTTATGGAGAGTATCAGAGATATTTAGCTTTTCTTCAAATACCCTAGTGCTTTGACTTTTTTTTTTTTTAATGACTCATTACTTACTAGCATAGGCCAGTCAGGTTTGGTTGCATTGTTAGTACAGGTAATCTAGTGATCAAAGTTAAGGTGTTTCATAACACAGTAATGAGTTCATTTTGCTTAGCACAAATTTCAGAATTTATTGGTCATTTTTTTTTTTTCATTAGAAACATAGATTTGTACATCTTAAAGAAGGAAAGCAATACCTGGAAAATTGCTGCAGAACTCAATCCAGTTCTTCCAGTTATATGTCACTAGATTTTTTTTTTTTTTTCTTTAATGCAGGAAATTCTGCAGGGGCTGGGGAAGAAGGATTTTTCAAGCTTTAGACTGAATAGAATCAGCCAAGTAACAGGAATAGTAACCACTCATTAGGCTGTTAAGTCTGTAGCTTTCAGAGGAATTGCATTTGAAATGTCTTCTGGCAAGTGAGCTAGAGGAGAGAGGGTAACATAAAACAAAAGACAAATTTCCAGTTCCATTAACTTAATTTTTTAAGTGTGAATTCATTTTTATTGTTTGTATTGTAGTGAGAGGTTGAACTGTTCCAGGGATGTTTTTATTCTTTGTTCATTCGATTATATATAAATACATGTTTTTTCACAGATGGTATTATTTATTTTATGAGGCTATCTGTCATTTGGCTGAAAGACAACCTCTGAGAGTGGTGTCAGTTCCAAGTTTAAAGAGTATCCCAGGGTGATAGTCTCAGGGGTTCCTATAGTCTCTAAGGTTCAGTAAGTCTGGCATTTTTTTCTGGGAGTTTGAGTTTTGTTCTACATTTTTCTCCCATTCTGTCTGGGACCATCTGTTGTGTTCTTGGTTGTCAGTAGTGATGACTGGGCACCATCTAGTTCTTCTGGGCTCAAGGTAAATGAGGCCATGGTTCATGTAGACTATTACTCCAATAGACTAGTTCCTTTGAATCATTGGTTTCTTACTTTCTCTTTCACTCTGGACTGGGAAGTTGTTTATTATTATTATTTTTTTTCTGTTGTGATTTGGGTGAATGTTTATGAAGCAAATTGCTTTTCCATTCAACAGTTCATACATATTTGTGCCATT